AGGAGGGGTGTAAATGTTGCAGTTTAAAAACTGTAGTGTAAAGCACCCTTCTGGCAAGACAGTGATGGAGTGAATGATGGTGAAAGTTTTTCTTTTTCGGGCCACCCTTCCTTGGTGGGAATCTTCCAGTGTGATAATAAAATAAAATAATTCTCCAACAATAAACTTGCCTCCCCTCCCTCTGCCCCATCTGCCATACACCAACAAGAGTCTTCAATAAAGGTAAGTGTGATGTTAACCCCTTGACTGTCACAACCCCCAATCCTAAGGTGTCTCCTGGTATCGCAAAATTTAAAAAAAAAAAAAAATTCTTATGAAATGATAACAGAATCTTTTCGCAACTGTAATGACACCAAAAAAAAAAAAAAATTGATGGAAAACTGACGGAATTACGCTCTCGCGAAGTTAGCAACCTCGGCGATATTTACAAATCAGCAATTACACCTATTTTGAGCCCTATTTTCGGCTAATTCCATTGTTCCAGTTGACAAAACTCACAGCTGTTTCTTTAGAACTCCATTTTTTCTATTGATTGAGTACAAGAAACTGTCCATTTACCGATTTCAACTACGCAATAACGTGGTCAGAAATTTGCAATTTGGCCAATTTCACGAAAATTAAAAAATATGATAATTTCAAAATAGGGTCCAGAATGAACAAAGCAGACATTCCTGGCTCTAAAATGACATTCTCTTTGGTCATCAGTCACGTCTCCAGGCCCCTCTGATATTACTCTTGCTTTCTATTTTGAACCTTTATTCAAACAAAAAATAGAAGATTTACTGTTATGCAGACTACTGCAATACTGAAATAATTGTATAAATAACATCAACCCATTCATGACTGCATATTAGAATGGCTAGTTGAACATTTATTGGACAATGACATCATTTGTTTACTTTTGAACATCGGCAAAAATCAAACATTTCCCATACTTTGAGCTCCATTTCCAGGTTCTTTTTATAGTAAAATCAATCAAAATCACCTCTATTCCTATAATATGTTTTCCATTCTATCAAATGAGACCAAGAAAATGAGAATACAACCATAAATACTATACGAAAATAAACCACAAGTCGGCATTTTAAAAAAAACGGTTCAGTTTTTTTTCTCATTATGCACTGCATGCTCCAGGATTTTTTTTATATGGTGCACACTGACCACACAGACTCATTCTCTCACATGTGGGCCTACCAGCTTTCTCCTGCTTGATTTGAAGCCGCTAGAATTGCCGGGAGCAATGGGCTAGTAACCCCTTCTCCTGTAGACATTTACTAAAAAAGAGAAGAAGAAAAACTTTATAAACAGGGATGCTTGAATGTGCGTGGATGTAGTGCGGATGACAAGAAACAGATGATTGCTGATGTTATGAATGAAAAGAAGTTGGATGTCCTGGCCCTAAGCGAAACAAAGCTGAAGGAGGTAGGGGAGTTTCGGTGGGGGGGAAATAAATGGGATTAAATCTGGAGTATCTGAGAGAGTTAGAGCAAAGGAAGGGGTAGCAGTAATGTTGAAGGATCAGTTATGGAAGGAGAAAAGAGAATATGAATGTGTAAATTCAAGAATTATGTGGATTAAAGTAAAGGTTGGATGCGAAAAGTGGGTCATAATAAGCGTGTATGCACCTGGAGAAGAGAGGAATGTAGAGGAGAGAGAGAGAGATTTTGGGAGATGTTAAGTGAATGTATAGGAGCCTTTGAACCAAGTGAGAGAGTAATTGTGGTAGGGGATCTGAATGCTAAGTAGAAGAAGCTTTTATAGAGGGTGTGGTAGGTAAGTTTGGGGTGCCAGGTGTAAATGATAATGGGAGCCCTTTGATTGAACTTTGTATAGAAAGGGGTTTAGTTATAGGTAATACATTTTTTAAAAGAAAAAGAGGATAAATAAGTATAAAAGATATATGGGCGAAATGACCAGTAGTTTGTTGGATTATGTATTGGTAGATAAAAGACTGTTAAAGTAGACTTCAGGATGTACATGTTTATAGAGGGGCCACAGATATATCAGATCACTTTCTAGTTATAGCTACACTGAGAGTAAAGGTAGATGGGATACAGGGAGAATAGAAGCATCACGGAAGAGAGAGGTGAAGGTTTATAAACTAAAGGGGAAAGGCAGTTAGGGAAAGATAAAAAACAGCTATTGGAGGATAGATGGCTAAAGAGAGCATAGGAAATGGGGTCGAAGAGGTATGGAGTAGGTTTAAAAAATGTAGGTTTAGAGTGTTCAGCAGAAGTTTGGGGTTTAAACAGGAAAGTGGGTGCAGGAGGGAAGAGGAGCGATTGGTGGAATGATATGTAAAAGAGTAATAAGAGAGAAAAAGTTAGCATATGAAAGTTTTTACAAAGTAGAAGTGATGCAAGGAGGGAAGAGTATATGGAGAAAAAGAAGAGGTTAAGAGAGTGGTGAAGCAATGTAAAAAGAGAGCAAATGACAGAGTGGGTGAGATGTATCAACAAATTTTGTTTGAAAATAAGAAAAAGTTTTGGAGTGAGATTAACAAGTAAGGGAAACCTAGAGAACAAATGGGTTTGTCAGTTAAAAATAGGAGAGGAGAGTTATTAAATGAGAGTTAGAGGTATTGGGAAGATGGAGGGAATATTTGAGGAATTGTTAAATGTTGATGAAGATAGGGAAGCTGTGATTTCGTGTATAGGGCAAGGAGGAATAAACATCTTGCAGGAGTGGGGAAAGAGCCAGTTGTGAGTGTGGGGAAGTTCGTGAGGCAGTAGGTAAAATGAAAGGGGGTAAGGCAGCCGGGATTGAGGGGATAAAAGATAGAAATTTTTAAAAGCAGGTTGGGGATATAGTTTTGGAGTGGTTGGGTGCAATTATTTAATAAATGTATGGAAGAGGGTAAGGTACCTAGGGATTGGCAGAGAGCATGCATAGTTCCTTTGTATAAAGGCAAAGGGGACAAAAAGAGTGCAAAAATTATAGGGGGATAAGTCTGGTGAGAAATACCTGGTAAAGTGTATGGTAGAGTTATTATTGAAAGAATTAAGAGTAAGAGGGAAAGAATAGGATAGCAGATGAACAAGGAGGTTTTAGGAAAGGTAGGGGGTGTGTGGACCAGGTGTTTACAGTGAAAACATATAAGTGAACAGTATTTAGATAAGGCTAAAGAGGTCTTTGTGGCATTTATGGTTTTGGAAAAGGGGGAATGACAGGGTGGATAGGGGGGCAATGTGGCAGATGTTGCAGGTGTAGGGTTTGTAGGAGGTAGGTTACTGAAAGCAGTGAAGAGTTTTACGAGGATAGTGAGGCTCAAGTTAGAGTATGTGGGAAAGAGGGAAATTATTTCCCAGTAAAAGTAGGCCTTAGACAAGGATGTGTGATGCCAAACCCTGGTTTTTTAATATATTTATAGATGGGGTTGTAAGAGAAGTAAATGCGAGGGTCTTGGCAAGAGGCGTGGAGTTAAAAAAATAAAGAACACAATAAAGTGGGAGTTGATGGGCACTGTGCTCTTGGGAGATTCTGAAGAGAAGTTGCAGAGATTGGGGGATGAATTTGGTTTGGTGTGCAAAAGAAGAAAATTAAAAGTGAATACAGGAAAGAGTAAGGTTATGAGGATAAAAAAAAAGATTAGGTGATGAAAGATTGGATATCAGATTGGAGGGAGAGAGTATGGAGGAGGTGAATGTATTCAGATACTTGGGAGTGGACGTATCAGCGGATGGTTTTTTAAAGATGAGGTGAAAACATAATATTGATGAGGGGAAAAGGGTGAGTGGTGCACTTAGGAGTCTGTGGAGACAAAAAACTTTGTCCCTTTGGGGGCAAAGGGGGAATGTATGAGAGTATAGTTTTACAACGCTCTTTATATGGGTGTGGAAGCATGGGTGATGAATGTTGCAGTGAGGAGAAGGCTGGAGGCAGTGGAGATGTCATGTCTGAGGGCAATGTGTGGTGTGAATATAATCAGAGAATTCGTAGTTTGGAAGTTAGGAGGAGGTGCGGGAAATTACCAAAACTGTTGTCCAGAGGGCTGAGGAAGGGTTGTTGAGGTGGTTCGGACAAAGTAAAAGAAATGGAGGCGAAACAGAGTGACTTCAAGAGTGTACAGTCTGTAGTGGAAGGAAGGCAGGGTAGGGGTCGGCCTAGAAAGGTTGGAGGAGGGGGTAAAGGAGGTTTTGTGTGCGAGGGGCTTGGACTTCCCGCAGGCATGTGTGAGCGTGTTTGATAGGAGTGAATGGAGACAAATGGTTTTTAATACTTGACGTGCTGTTGGAGTGTGAGCAAAGTAACATTTATGAAGGGGTTCAGGGAAACCGGCAGGCCGGACTTGAGACCTGGAGATGGGAAGTACAGTGCCTGCACTCTGAAGGAGGGGTGTTAATGTTGCAATTTAAACTGTAGTGTAAAGCACCCTTCTGGCAAGACAGTGATGGAGTGAATGATGGTGAAAGTTTTTCTTTTTCGGGCCACCCTGCCTTGGTGGGAATCGGCCAGTGTGATAATAAAAAAAAAATACACATCAAACATGGTACCTTGTAAGACGTATATATACGACCGAAACAGTCAAAGGGTTAAATGTTCATTTATACATTTTATTAGTGCTTTACACTTATTTGGCATTCTTTTCTGCATGTAAATCTATATTTAAGCTAGGGAAGTGACCCTTGAAGTGACCTAGTCCTTATGGAGGAGGATTCCCCTTCCAAACAATGACCTCTCTTCCCTGTCCCCTCCCCCACTTCCAGTCATCAACAACAGCCATCAATAGAGGTAACTGTCATGCCGAATGTTCATTCTTTTGTGCATGTAAATCTATCTTTAAGGTAAAAAAAAAAAAATTTGTTGATACCTGTGGACGTCTGGAACGAATTAATTGGATTTACATTATTTCTTATGGGGAAAATGGACTCGCAAATTGTCAATTTTGATAATAGTCACACTCTCTGGAATGGATTAATTACGAAAAACGAGGGTCCACTGTACTTGGCAAGTTTCTACTAAACATACACTGTCACTCACAAGAACCACCTAAGACATACCTATGTGGTTGAGCAAGTAGCTGGTCGGCGTACCTATACACTCTTAGTATTTCTCGCACACAAGAATTAATTGCTTGTACCACAGCATCAGGAATATTACTACTCCAATTTGAGGGTAAATCAATGCGGCTTTCTGCGTCATCAACTTCCATGGAATCATCATCAGGATTTAGTTGCTGTGAAATAAAAACTATTGTGATTATATTTCTTTCATTACTTACCCATCCACCATCACACCATCTCAAAAAGAGAAGTACAAAATGACAAGAGAAAATTATGAAAAGCAACTTCAAGGCAAGTGACCACAGTCCTCTCTCTTTTCATGACTCGCTTAAATTAACAATGTTGTCATCCACCGTATATTGCCAACCATAAGGTAATATTTATCAGAAAATAAACCATGCCTAAAGTTCAATGCCAGAAAAAAGAAAATATTAAAAAATATGAGGACAGTGAGGCTCAGGTTAGAGTATGTAGGAGAGAAGGAGATTATTTCCCAGTAAAAGTAGGCCTTAGACAGGGATGTGTGATGTCAATATATTTACAGATGGGGTTGTAAGAGAAGCGAATGCTCGGGTGTTGGCAAGAGGTGTGGGGGCTAAAAGTAAAGTAAAGTAGTAAAGTTTATTTCTTTGTAAAGGTTACAATGTGTAATTACAAGTTTGATTTCCTAAGTACAAAGATAGCCACTATCATGCCGAGGCACTTTGGGAAACTAATCCTGATATATATTAACTAATTAAAACTAGATAAGATAATAGTACATAGTAACTATACTTAAAGCTAGACAAGTAGTAGTGGTTAACTGTTTATAATCTTATATTAACTTAATACAAGTGAGAGGTAGTAAGGTGGAGTAGGGTTCAGTAAAATAATCTTGAAATTGCACGCAAAATCTACCTTACAAGTAATGGTACAGGTGGTAATATGTTATGGATTGGCAAAATTAAAAGCCAGGAGGTCACATAATAAAACTAATTAGCAGATGTTTTGACTGAATTGGTTAATATTGAGAGATAAGATGATTTTATGGATTGGCAGAATTAAGAGCCTAGAGGTCACATAATAAAACTAGTTAGCAGATGTTTTGGTTGATTTGGTTAATATTGTAAGATACGATGATTTTTTAGCAGTCTTATATTTATAAGCTGTCAGGGGACCCTTGACCTGTTCCAGTAGCGAGTTCTAGATCTTCGAGCCCTTTATGTGCATAGCGTTCTTGCATAGTGAGAGACTGACTCCAGGGATGTTGAAAAGTGCCTTATGCCTTGTATTGTGGCTGTGCATTCTGTTGTAACTGTCAAGTAGTAGTTTTAGGGGTAGGTTTACAGTGGAGTTTAATGTTATGTATATGTAGTAGGCACAATAATAAGAGTATATGTCTTGTATATTTCCTAGGTAGTAGGTTGGTAGACAGCAACCACCCAGGGAGGTACTACCGTCCTGCCAAGTGAGTGTAAAACGAAATCCTGTAATTGTTTTATATGATGGTAGGACTGCTGGTATCTTTTGTCTGTCTCATAAACATGCAAGATTTCAGGTATGTCTTGCTACTTCTACTTACACTTAGGTCACACTACACATACATATACAAGCATATATATACACACCCCTCTGGGTTTTCTTCTATTTTCCTTCTAGTTCTTGTTCTTGTTTATTTCCTATTATCTCCATGGGGAAGTGGAACAGAATTCTTCCTCTGTAAGCCATGCGTGTTGAAAGAGGCGACTAAAATGCTGGGAGCAAGGGGCTAGTAACCCCTTCTCCCGTATAAATTACTAAATTTAAAAAGAGAAGCTTTTGTTTTTCTTTTTGGGCCATCCTGCCTCGGTGGGATACGGCCGGTGTGTTGAAAGAAAGAAGAAGTCTTGTATATTTAGCAAGTTGAGTCTGTTGAAAAGTGGTGGGGTGTGCTGTCTAGCACAGGAGCTGGTTATCACCCGCACAGCAGCTTTTTGTTGGATTATTAAGGGTCTAAGGTGGTTGGCTGTGGTTGAGCCCCAGGCACAAATACCATAGGTGAGGTACGGATATATTAGAGTGGTACAGGGTAAGAAGAGTCGTTTGTGGTACATAGTATCGTATCTTGGAAAGGATTCCTACTGATCTGGAAATTTTCTTGACTATGTGATGGGTATGGGACTGAAATTTAAGATTACAGTCAAGGAGAAGACTTAGAAATTTGCCCTCCATGTGTCTTGATATAGGGAAACCATTTAACAATATGTTAAGTTGGATATTTAAGGCTCTGTTGCCAAACAGTATGAAGTATGTTTTGTCTATGTTGGGAGTGAGTTTGTTGGTCATCATCCAATTATACAGTGGACCCCCGCCTTACGATCAGCTCCCAACTCGAACAATTATGTAAGTGTATTTTTGTAAGTGCTTTTGTACGTGTATTTTTTGGGGTCTGAAACGAACTAATCTAATTTACAATATTCCTTATGGGAACAAATTCATTCGGTAACGGCACCCGAACAGACTTCTGGAATGAATTAATATAGTAAGGCGGGGGTCCACTGTATATCTTAGCAGTTCATTGTTTACAGCATTTCTAAGTACAGCTGGGTCTGAATGGGAGTAGACATATGTAGTGTCATCTGCGAATAGAACTGGTTTAAGGAGTTGGGATGCATTGGGAAGATCACTGATGTAGATGAGAAAGAGGGGCGGGCCTAGGACACTACCCTGGGGTACTCCTACAGCTACAGGTTGGATAGCCGAATTGACTCCATTTGCATGTACATACTGGTGTCTGTCGTTAAGATAGGATTTTAGGTAGTCAAGAGAATGTCCTCTGATGCTGTAATGACTCAGTTTGAGGTGCAAGAGATTGTAGTCGACTGTATCAAACGCTTTTCGTAGGTCAATAGAGCCCCAGAGGATATTCATTTTTATCGAGAGCTGTGTATATTAGTTCAAGCATTTGTATAATAGCGTCATTCGTACTTTTTTTGGTCTAAACCCAAACTGGCATGGGTTAAGTATGTTGTTGGATGTAAGGTAGGAGTAAAGTTGCCTGTGTATTATTTTTTCAAATACCTTAGAAAGTAAGGGCAAGTTTGATATGGGTCTATAGTTGTTCAAGTCAACTGGATCACCTCCTTTGTGGACTGGGGTGACCCTTGCTGTCTTGAATATAGATGGGAAGGTTGAGGATGCTACAGATTTGTTAAACATTGTTGCAATAATGGGTGACAGCTCATGTGCAGCTTTTTTATATATGAATGGTGGCAAGTTATCTAGATCGCCTGCTTTGTTTTTTAATGATTTAATGACGAATGAGACTTCAGTGGAATTAGTTGGAGCTAGAAATAGAGTATTTGGGTAGTTGCCAGTGAGGTACTTGTTTGGCTGGGTATTGGAGCTAGGAATCTGACTTGCTAGCGTTGATCCTACAGTAGAGAAGAAGACATTAAATATGTCGGTCGTGTCTACAGGCTGTATGTGAGGTTCATCTGGTTTAGTTAAGTTTATCTCTCTATTTCCAGACAGTTTCCTAGAGCCCAAAATTTTGAAGAGGGTTTGCCAGGTACTTTTCATATCACCTTCTATTTCACTAAATCTATTTTCATAATACATTTGCTTTGATTTTTGTATTAATTTTGCGAGTATTGATGCGTATCTTTCGTAAATTCTTCAATAATTAGGTCTAATCTAAACTGTTTTTCAAGTTGGTGTTTTTTATTAATAGATTTGAGGATACTTTATGTTAGAGATGGGCTGTTTACTCTCTTTTCTGTAATCTCTTTTGTTTTCATTGGACAATGCTTGTTATAGAGGTTTAGGGTTTTATGTAAAAAATTTTTGACATCTTTATCAATATTATTACTGTCAGCTAGCTCTCTCTGCCAATCAATGGCACCTAGTGCTAGTTTTAGGTTGTTTATCGATGTCTCATCATGCAGGCGAAATGAAATCTCTCTTGTTTCTTGAGGCAATTTAGATAAGTTGGTTACGAGAAAGGTAGGATAGTGGTCTGTGGTGTTGTCTGTGATTATACCTGCTTGTAGTGGAGATATCGTGTTGGTCCAGATATGGTCAAGTAACGAGGCACTTGTCTCAGAGATTCTTGTTGGCTTCCTTAGAGAGGGTAGCAACAAGCTGTTGCTCATAGTATTTGTGAAATCAGCTACTGGAAGGTCAGTTGCTTGGATGAGGTTTATGTTGAGATCTCCTGCTAGTATCAGATAGTGTTTATTCAACTCTGACTCAGTTATCATGTTTCTAAGGTTACTGTTAAAAGTGTAAGTATTTGTGTGTGGTAGTCTGTAGACGGTGCCAACTGTTATAAGTTTCTTAAGTGTTCTTGATGTGAATTTAGCTATCATATATTCGCCATTTTCGTCTCATACATTAGTTGATTTCATACATTCTAGTTCATCAGAGCAATAGATGGCAGTGCATCCTCCTGATTGGTCAGGCCTGCAGTTATGTATGGCTATGTAACCAGGTATGGTAATTTTTTTTTTTTTAACAAATCGGCAGTCTTCCACTGAGGCAGGGTGACACAAAATGAAAGAAAATCCCCAAAAAGAAAATACTTTCATCATCTTTCAACACTTTCACCTCATTCACACATAATCACTGTTTTTGCAGAGGTGCTCAGAATACAACAGTTTAGAAGCTTATACGTATAAAGATGCACAACATATCCTTCCAAACTGCCAGTATCCCAAACCCCTCCTTTAAAGTGCAGGCATTGTACCTCCCATTTCCAGGACTCAAGTCCGGCTATATAAAAATAACCGGTTTCCCTGAATCCCTTCACTAAATATTAGCCTGCTCACACTCCAACAGATCGTCAGGTCCCAAATACCATTAGTCTCCATTCACTCCTATCTAACACGCTCATGCACGTTTGCTGGAAGTCCAAGCCCCTCGTCCACAAAACCTCCTTTACCCCCTCCCTCCAACTTTTACGAGGACGACCCCCACTCCGCCTTCCTTCCCCTACAGATTTATACGCTCTCCATGTCATTCTATTTTGATCCATTCTCTCTAAATGACCAAACCACCTCAACAACCCCTCTTCAGCCCTCTGACTAATACTTTTATTAACTCCACACCTTCTCCTAATTTCCACACTGAATTTTCTGCATAATATTTACACCACACATTGCCCTTAGACAGGACATCTCCACTGCCTCCAACCGCCTCCTCGCTGCTGCATTACAACCCAAGCTTCACACCCATATAAGAGTGTTGGTACTACTAACTTTCATACATTCCCTTCTTTGCCTCCATAGATAACATCTTTTGTCTCCACATATACCTCAATGCACCACTCACCTTTTTTCCCTCATCAATTCTATGATTAACCTCATCCTTCATAAATCCATCCGCCGACACATCAACTCCCAAATATCTGAAAACATTCACTTCTTCCATACTCCTCCTCCCCAATTTGATATCCAATTTTTCTTTATCTAAATCATTTGATACCCTCATCACCTTACTCTTTTCTATGTTCACTTTCAACTTTCTACCTTTACACACACTCCCAAACTCATCCACTAACCTTTGCAATTTTTCTTTAGAATCTCCTATGAGCACAGTATCATCAGCAAAAAGCAACTGTGTCAATTCCCATTTTGTATTTGATTCCCCATAATTTAATCCCACCCCTCTCCCAAACACCCTAGCATTTACTTCTTTTACAACCCCATCTATAAATATATTAAACATCTATGGTGACATTACACATCCCTGTCTAAGACCTACTTTTACTAGGAAGTAGTCTCCCTCTCTTCTACACACCCTAACCTGAGCCTCACTATCCTCATAAAAACTCTTTACAGCATTTATTAACTTACCACCTATTCCATATACTTGCAACATCTGCCACACTGCTTCCCTATCCACTCTATCATATGCCTTTTCTAAATCCATAAATCCAATAAAAACTTCCCTACCTTTATCTAAATGCTGTTCACATATATGCTTCAATGTAAACACTTGATCTACACATCCCCTACCCACTCTGAAACCTCCTTGCTCATCCGCAATCCTACGTTCTGTCTTACCTCTAATTCTTTCAAATATAACCCTACCGTACACTTTTCCTGGTATACTCAGTAAATTTATTCGTCTATAATTTTTACAATCTCTTTTGTCCCCCCTTCCCTTTATATAATATAAAGGGACTATACATGCTCTCTGCCAATCCCTAGGTACCTTCCCCTCTTTCATACATTTATTAAACAAAAATATCAACCCCTCCAACACTATATCCCCCCTGCTTTTAACATTTCTGTCATGATCCCGTCAGTTCCAGCTGCTTTACCCCCTTTCATTCTACACGTAATGCCTCACGCACCTCCCCCATACTTACATCCTGCTCTTCTTCACTCCTAAAAGATGGTATACCTCCATGGCCAGTGCATGAAATTACCGCTTTCCTTTCTTCGTTGACATTTAAGAGTTCCTCAAAACATTCTCGCCATCTACCCAAAACCTCCATCTCCCCATCTACTAACTCCCCTACTCTGTTTTTAACTGACAAATCCATTCGTTCTCAAGGCTTTCTTAACTTGTTAAACTCACTCCGAAATTTTTTCTTATTTTCATTAAAATTTCTTGACAGTGCCTCTCCCACTCTATCATCTGCTCTCCTTTTGCACTCTCTCACCACTCTCTTCACATTTCTTTTACTCTCCATATACTCTGCTCTTCTTATAACAATTCTGCTTTGTAAAAACCTCTCATAAGCTAACTGTTTCTCTTTTATCACACCCTTTACTTCATCATTCCACTAATCACTCCTCATTCGACCTGCACCCACTCTCCTATAACCACAAACTTCTGCCCCACATTTTAATACTGCATTTTTAAAACTATAAATTATATAAACTTTCAGTAAAATTAAACAAAAAAACAAAAAAATTCAGTTAATACAATGCATGTAACATATCATGCTGTTTACAACTCCATCAATTTGTGTTATTCAAGACATGCAATATGATAATGGGTGAAGTCCATCATGCTGTAGTATTTAACCTACCTCTTCTTTGCCTTTTGCATCTTCTTCTATGGATGGTAGGTGTCTGATAAGAGCCTTGGTGTTCTCATCAACTGGTGACACACATCCAGCACATGTACCTTTCTTATTATACCAGACAAGGCCACCTGAAATATATTACTTATACTAGTTAATTCATATACCTTCTAGTTTCACATGACGAAAACTCTCCAAGTTTATTTTTCAGTTAATTATTAAATAGTAAATTTTTTAATTATTTCCTGAACTCATTCAGAATCAACTTCAGTCTGTATTTAACACTATTTATCATGTCTTGATTGGTATTCCTACATACCTTAGCTCGTGTTTGTGGAACATCAGCCAGCATCTCTAAAACACGCTCATACCCATTCTTTTCTTTTTTATCACCAAGTAACTCTTCTGATTCTCCTAGAAAATACTTAAGTCCTAATGATGTCCTAGTGATAGCATCAATAGTTCTGAGAAGAAAAATTATAGCCTTCGATAAGCCATCTGTTTTTCAGTGATACAATAAATATACAGGGCAATTTAAATTCAGAAAAAATGGATAAAATAAAGTACTTCAATTTTCTTCTTAGCTTCATAAATATATTCACCATGTTTCCATACTAGATCCCATGCACACAGCCATACTGATACAGCAATGAAAACATAATGAAACTTCCACTGATCCATAACTATACCATAAAGTTTTACAACAATACAATTAATGCTCACATTATAGTGATAAATTGAGGTTCTGGAACATTAAAATAATTACAACCACAAATATCCATAAAAAACAAGAATAAAACAGTGTAGACTATTCAATATTACATACTTGAGAATCAGAAGCTTGATGGAGAGTGCCATGTGAGGTTTATGATATAAATCGTAAAGCTTATCCATAATATTATGTTTCAGAAAGAGTCTTGTCACATCACAGGAACACAGCAGCATAAGTTGTGCAAGACGAACCCCTGCCTTCATGTGACGAATCTGAACACGTTGCCAATAAGTTAATTTTCAGTATATACACACAATATATAGATATAAAAGCAATAGAAATATAGAGCAATGTGATAATAGAAGGTTTTATCTAACTGAACACACAAAATATATAAATATTAAAAGATATAAGTATGGTTTTTTTCAACATACCAGCCGTCTCCCACCAAGGCAGGGCGACCCGAAAAAAGAAAAAAATATAAAGCTTTTCTTCTTTTTACATTTAGTAATTTATACAGGAGAATGGATTACTATCCCCTTGCTCCTGGCATATTAGTCACCTTCTGTGGTAGGCATGGCTTACAGGGAAAAGATTCTTTTCCACTTCCTCCCATGGAGAAATATGAAAATATAGAAAATATATATAAATATCCTAGGTAGTAGGCTGGTAGACAGCAACCTCCCAGGGAGGTACATTGTACTACCATCCTGCCAAGTGAGCATAAAACAAAAGCCTGTAATTGTTTTACGTGATGGTAGGATTGCTGGTGTTTTTTGTCTGTCTCATAAACATGCAAGATTTCAGGTATGTCTTGCTACTTCTACTTACACTTAGGTCACACTACACATACATGTACAAGCATATATATATACAAACCCCTCTGGGTTTTCTTCTATTTTCTTTCTAGTTCTTGTTCTTGTTTATTTCCTCTTATCTCCATGGGGAAGTGGAACAGAATTCTTCCTCCGTAAACTATTCGTGTTGTAAGAGGCGACTAAAATGCCGGGAGCAAGGGGCTAGTAACCCCTTCTCCTGTATATATTACTAAATTTAAAACGAGAAATTTTTGTTTTTCGTTTTGGGCCACCCCACCTCAGTGGGATACGGCTGGTGCGTTGAAAGAAAGAAAGAAGATATATAAATATGAGGTTGGAATATACAGGCCCTTAAAACTGTACATTTACCAATGGAACTTGACGTGCTGTTGGAGTGTGAGCAAGGTAACATTTATGAAGGGATTCAGGGAAACCAGCAGGCTGGACTTAAGTCCTGGAGATGGGAAGTACAGTGCCTGCACATGATGGTAGGAGTGCTAGTGCCTTTTTTTTTTCTGTTGGTAGCAGGTTGGTAGACAGCAACAACCCAGGGAGGTACTACCGTCCTGCCAAGTGAGTGTGAAACAAAAGCCTGTAATTGTTTTACATGACGGTAGGATTGCTGGAGTCTTTTTTCTGTCTCATAAACATGCAAGATTTCAGGTATGTCTTGCTACTTCTACTTACACTTAGGTCACACTAAACATACATGTACACATTTATGTATACACACTCATCTTAGTTTTCTTTGATTTTATCTTAATAGTTCTTGTTCTTATTGATTTTCCTTTTATATCCATGGGGAAGTGGAATAAGAATCTTTCCTCCGTAAGCCATGCGTGTTGTAAAAATCAACTAGGATGCCGGGAACAATGGGCTGAGTTTGAGTTACCTGCCCTATCAGCAGCATCATACTGTATTAACTGTACTAACTAGACAGTAAATTTCACCATGGCCTCTAAGAGGAAATTTGAATCTTGCACTGGAGATTGTGGCAAGAAAGGCTCTTACTCTCGAACTCTCTTTATTTGTTTTCACTGTTGCAAGTAAACCTGTCTGTATCTGTCTGCCTGTATATCTGTCTGTATCTGTATTTGTATGTCTGTCTGCTTATCTGTCTTTATGTCTTCCTGTGTGTGTCTGTCTTTCTGTCTGCTTGTCTCTCTGTCTCAGAGAGCCCCTCATGAACCAACAGGTATTACACATGAAGCAAGAGTCGTCACATCTTCAATATGATGCTAATATCAGCTCTACGGCTTATTTATATATCACAATTCATCTAATATGACATAATAAACAATTTTCTTTTTTTTTAACAAGTCGGCCATCTTCCACCAAAGAGAAAGAAAATCCCCAAAAAGAAAATACTTTCATCATCATTCAACACTTTAACCTCACTCACACATAATCACTGTTTTTGCAGAGGTGCCCAGAATACAACAGTTTAGAAGCATATATGTATAAAGACACACAACATATCCCTCCATACTGCCAATATAAACAATATAAATAACATAAAAACCTGATATACACTCTAGAATGAATAAAATACGAACTTAACTGCTTTAAACTCCACGTCTTGTGCCTGTGCTGGCATGTAGGAACACATTAAAATCATTAAGAGAATGTTATTGGTCTTGAAGATGCCATATTAATAATGATAAAAATAACACAATAATAATCACTCTGAGGAACATTAAATGTGTATAAAATGTTAATAGTATAGACATTTTGCTTAATCCATTAATGATTTTTTTTTCAAAATTATATAATAAACACGCTATGTAACACATAAACATATAAATTAACATAAATATGAGATGTTTTTCCAGTCGGCTTGACAGAGTGAACAAAAACCATTTGTGTCCGGGATGGTAACAACAACAACAACTATAGTTTTTTTTACAAAACTCGTGAACCTTCTACACTCTCGTTCTCTCTCTCGTTTATTCATTTAGTCTTGTTTACTCGCCTCTCACTCTACATTAAGACTACAGATATTTTAAGGTAAGTATAATGAGTGAACACTATTATTATATCGGTGGGAGGCGGCAGACGTTGAAAAAAAAAAAAATTATTATTATTATAGGTAGTAGGCTGGTAGACAGCAACCGCCCAGGGAGGTACTACTGTCCTGCCAAGTGAATGTAAAACGAAAGCCTGTAATTGTTCTACATGATGGTAGGATTGCAAGTGTCCATTTTTCTGTCTCATGAACATGCAAGGTTTCAGGTACTTCTTGCTATTTCTACTTACACTTACACTTCTACTTACACTTAAGTCACACTACACATACATGTTTTTTTTTTTTTTTTTTTTCAACAAGTCGGCCGTCTCCCACCGAGGCAGGGTGACCCAAAAAAGAAAGAAAATCCCCAAAAAGAAAATACTTTCATCATCATTCAACACTTTCACTTTTCATGTACAAGTATATATATATACACACCCCTCTGGGTTTTCTTCTATTTTCTTACTAGTTCTTGTTCTTGTTCATTTCCTCTTACCCCCCATGGGGAAGTGGAACAGAATTCTTCCTCCGTAAGCTAAGCATATTGTAAGAAGCGACTAAAATGCAAGGAGCAAGGGGCTAGTAACCTCTTCTCCTGTATAAATTAATAAATTTAAAAAGAGAGACTTCCGTTTTCCTTTTTGCGCCATCCTGCTTTGGTGGGATACGGCCGGTTTGTTGAAAAAAAAAAAAAAAAAAAAAAGAGTGAGCATATTATTATATTATAATTTTATTTTTTTTTTTTTTTTTTTTTTTTTTTTTCAACAAGTCGGCCGTCTCCCACCGAGGCAGGGTGACCCAAAAAAGAAAGAAAATCCCCAAAAAGAAAATACTTTCATCATCATTCAACACTTTCACCACACTCGCACATTATCACTGTTTTGCAGAGGTGCTCAGAATACAACAGTCCCAGAAGCATACACATATAAAGATACACAAACATATCCCTCCAAACTGCCAAATCCCAAACCCTCCTTTAAAGTGCAGGGATTGTACTTCCCATTTCCAGGACTTCAAGTCCGACTATATGAAAATAACCGGTTTCCCTGAATCCCTTCACTAAATATTACCCTGCTCACACTCCAACAGATCGTCAGGTCCCAAGTATCATTCGTCTCCATTCACTCCTATCAAACACGCTCACGCACGCTTGCTGGAAGCCCAAGCCCTTACCCAAAAAACCCTCCTTTACCCCCTCTACCAACCCTTTCGAGGACGACCCCTCCCGCCTTCCTTCCCCTATAGATTTATATGCTTTCCATGTCATTCTACTTTGATCCATTCTCTCTAAATGACCAAACCACCTCAACAACCCCTCTTCTGCCTCTGACTAATTCTTTTATTAACTCCACACCTTCTCCTAATTTCCACACTCCGAATTTTCTGCATAATATTTACACCACACATTGCCCTTAAACAGGACAATCTCCCCCTGCCCCCAACCGTCTCCTCGCTGCTGCATTTACCACCCAAGCTTCACACCCATATAAGAGTGTTGGGACTACTATACTTTCATACATTCCTTTTGCCTCCATAGATAACATTTTTTGACTCCCCATATACCTCAACGCACCACCACCTTTTTTTTCCCCCATCAATTCTATGATTAACCTCATCCTTCATAAATCCATCCGCCGACACGTCAACTCCCAAGTATCTGAAAACATTCACTTTTCCATACTCCCCCTCCCCAATTTGATATCCAATTTTTCTTTATCTAAATCATTTGACACTCTCATCACCTTACTCTTTTCTATGTTCACTTTCAAAATTTTACCTTTACACACATTCCCAAACTCATCCACTAACCTTTGCAATTTTTCTTTAGAATCTTTCCCCTAAGCACAGTATTTATCAGCAAAAAGTAAAATGTGTCAATTCCCATTTTTGAATTTGATTCCCCATAATTTAATCCCACCCCCCTCTCCAAAACACCCTAGCATTTACTTCCTTAACAACCCCATCTATAAATATATTAAAAACCATGGTGACATTACCATCCCTGTCTAAGACCTACTTTTACCGGGAAGTATTCTCCCTCTCTTTACAAAACCCTAACCTGAGCCTCACTATCCTCATAAAAACTCTTTACAGCATTTAAAAAACTTACCACTATTCCATATACTTGCAACATCTCCCACATTGCTCCTCTACCCATCTATCATATGCCTTTTAAATCCATAAATCCAATAAAATTCCCATCTTTTTCTAAATATGTTCACATATCTTCAATGTAAAACCTGACTACACATCCCCCACCCCCTCTAAAAACCCCCTTTCTCGTCCGAATCCTAATTTTGTTTTCCTCTAAATTTTTCAATTATAACCCTACCGTACACTTTTCCCGGTATACTCGTAACTTATTCCTTATATTTTTACAGTCTCTTTTGCCCTTTCCCCTTTATAAGGGACTATACATGCTCTTGCAATCCCCAGGTACCTTCCC